TTCATCTTCGTTGGCTCGACGTGAAGAGGTCATCCGGCACACTTGACTCTTCCAATCCGGGTCGTTGGCGCACTGCTCGGGGCATGCTTGCGTCGTCATTGTCGTGATTGGGTTGGGCCTTGCGCTTTCCTGTTTTGTTTGAAGTGTCTCGGACGCGGTTCTTCATCATCAAGATCGATCGATTCGAAGTCCAGACCATCAACATCGTCATCGGAAATCATCATCGACATTCCAAAGGCCGACTCATCGAAGTTGACATCGCGACTTATCATCACCTGCCTCGCTTCGATGTCGTAAACTCGATACGCCTTGGACACTTCTTCGTAGCCCAAAAACAATCCAGCCCGGGCCTTGGGATCCCACTTGAGTCGTTTCTCCTTCGGGGTCAAGATGTATGCTTGGCACCCAAAAACGCGCATGTGCTTGACACTTGGCTTAGAACTGTAGACAATCTCGAACGGTGTCTTGTGTGGAATCTTGGGTGACGGCAAACGGTTCTTCACATAGACGGCCGTCATTGCCGCTTCAGCCCAGAAGCACTTGTCCAACTTGGCATGATGGAGCATGCTACGACCGATGGTGACGATAGTTCGAATCGCGCGTTCAGCAGTTCCATTGGCTTGATGTGCGTATGGCACCGTGGTTTGTTGCTCGATGCCTTCGACTTCGTAGAAATCTTGAAGCGAGTTCGTCGCAAACTCGCGGGCTCCATCGTGTCGCACAAATTTGACCTTCTTGTTGAACTGCGTCTGTATCATCGTGATGTACTTCTTGATGCACTCTTCGCTCTCTGACTTGGAATGCAGACAAAAACCCTTCATGCATCCGCTGGCTTCATCCACGATCAGCAGCAGATACTTGCTGCCACCCAGAGATTTTTCTTCCATGGGTCCGCAGATGTCGAAGTGGAGCATCTCGAAGGTGTTGTAGGTGCGCTTGTCACGGTTGCTCGGGAATGGTTTTTGGACCATCTTCCCTTCTTGGCATCCTCGACACACACTTGATCCATTCGGCTTGGAAGGGATGTGAGCGTCCTTGATCATGTGGCTTGTCACCATCCTGCGAAGCACGTCGACTGGAGCATGGCCCATTCGCGCATGTAGATCAACAGCGTTGCTGAGTGATGTCGCATTGGCCGATCGCTGCGTCGTGCGAAGCCAGTAGAGTCCGTCTACAAGATCCGCAGCTGCCACCACTTGATTGGAATCCTTGCGAGCGACTTACATCGTATCCCCGTCAAACACCACTTGGAAGTTGCCGTGTTTGTTAATCTGCGGCACCGAGAGCAGATTTTTGCTCATGCTGGGCACATAGAGCGCGTTCTTGATCTCGATCTCGCGCTCTTCCCCGTTTGGCAGAATCACCTTTTCCACGATGGTCCCCACACCTTTGATGGCCGCCTTGTTGCCATCAGCCACCAGGATCTCGCCATCATTGCCTTCGACCAAGCTTGCAAACTTGAACTTGTCGTGGCAGATGTGATGTGTTGCCCCGCTGTCAACGGCCCACATTCCTGGTCCATTCTTGTTCGTCGAAACTCCGCATTCGAACGAAACTGCAAACGCCACTCGATCGTAGCTGTTGCCTTCATCATAATGTCGCCACTGGACATTGTTTGCCCCGCGTCCACGACCATTACCGCCGCGTTGGGCTCCTCGACTTTCATCCTTTTGCTTCGTCCAGCAACGCTCTGCCGTGTGCCCCACCTTGCCGCAGTATGTGCATTGGTAGGGCTTGCGCTCGGTACTGAATGCCTTTGTCGCATCTTCAGTCTTCACCGTTGTCGTTGCCGTTGTCATCTTCTCGCCTTGTCGCTTGATGTGCTCGTTAGTCAGCACCTTGACCACATCTTGCGTGCGCAGCTCTGCATTGCTCATCTCCAAGTTCAGAACCACGTTCTCGAAACTCTTCGGGAGACTGAGCAGCAAGCAGATCGCAATGTCTTCGTCTTCCATCTTGGCACCGATGCTGCTGAGCTTGGCGCCGATGTTCAAGACTTCGTTGCAATGGTGCAAGACGTTGGCACCTTCCGCCATCTTGATGCTGAACAGCTGGCGCTTGAGGTAGATGCGTCCCGCCTTCTGCGACCCACCATAGAGCATCTTCAACCGCGACCACGCTGTCCATGCTTCTTCACAGTTGTCGACCACATGGTGGTAGTCGGCGTCCATGTGGAGCAACATCAACCCGAACGCGATCTTGCTCGCCTTGACGTACTCGTCGGAAGCTCGCGTGTCGGTGAAGGTTGGAGACGTTTCGCGGTTCACGACGTACCAGACTGACTTCGTCAGAAACACGCCGCGCATGTAGCGACACCAGGTTGAGTAGTTGTCCCCATCGAACTTATCGATGGAGACACTGGCCGAGGTGTTGTTGGATGACATGGCGCTTGGGCTCATAACCTATTGTAACTTGAGCGCGAGGCGAAGAGAAAACGAAGCGGAGAGACCGGAGAGAACGAAGCAGAGAACACTTGCTCACTTGAGGGAGGATTCGAAAGTGATTGATTTATAGGTCTTAACTTCTGCCTACCCTAGACTGCATCCAATCACATGGTGCATCTAATCAACCTGATTTACACGCGTCCAATCATCCTACGCGTCTAATCATCTCTGAGGTAATTACCGATGTAAAAACTATCTCGTAAGAACTACGCGCTAGGTTCGGATTGTACCGGTAACCCTCAATAAACACTTGCTCACTTGAGGGAGGATTCGAAAGTGATTGATTTATAGGTCTTAACTTCTGCCTACCCTAGACTGCATCCAATCACATGGTGCATCTAATCAACCTGATTTACACGCGTCCAATCATCCTACGCGTCTAATCATCTCTGAGGTAATTATCGATGTAAAAACTATCTCGTAAGAACTACGCGCTAGGTTCGGATTGTACCGGTAACCCTCAATAAGCCCAAGCACGATGTCCTCTACTCAAGATTCCGCCACCAAGATCTCTATCGATAGATTCGATGGAGACAACTACGCGACGTGGAGCCGCTACATGCGTGGCGTGTTCCTGACCAAGTCGACGTGGCACGTGGTCAACCGGGAGACCACCACCACCTTCGCCGATCCTCGCGCCAGTGATGAGTACGTCAAGACGAACAACATTGCGTTCGGCTTGATGTTACTTCACATGAGCGCGGACTATCATCACGTGGTTGATGACTGCGACGAGGCATGGGTTGCGTGGACACGGTTGAAGACTCTCTACGGCGGATCGCAGAAGGCTGGACGGATCTTCTTGAAGCGGCAGCTATTCAGCATGGAGATGGCGGAAGGCGGCAATGTAATGCATCATTGCAATGAAGTTCTCAACTTCAGCGCCAAGCTCAGCAGTATCGACGCCAAGATGGAGGATGAGGACGTGGCGATCTGCTTGTTGTGCAGCCTCCCCAAGAGCTACGAGAACGTCATGCTGAACTTGGAGATGAGCAGCGTGGAACTGCGGACGCAAGACGCCGTGAAAGTGCTGACGAATGAGCACGTAAAGAGACAAGGAAACAAGACGACATCGGTGAAAACTGAAGAAGCGACCAAGGCCTTCAGTACCGAGCGTGAGGTTCGTCAGTGTACGTTCTGCGGAAAATTGGGGCACACTGTTGTAACTTGAGCGCGAGGCGAAGAGAAAACGAAGCGGAGAGACCGGAGAGAACGAAGCAGAGAACACTTGCTCACTTGAGGGAGGATTCGAAAGTGATTGATTTATAGGTCTTAACTTCTGCCTACCCTAGACTGCATCCAATCACATGGTGCATCTAATCAACCTGATTTACACGCGTCCAATCATCCTACGCGTCTAATCATCTCTGAGGTAATTACCGATGTAAAAACTATCTCGTAAGAACTACGCGCTAGGTTCGGATTGTACCGGTAACCCTCAATAAACACTTGCTCACTTGAGGGAGGATTCGAAAGTGATTGATTTATAGGTCTTAACTTCTGCCTACCCTAGACTGCATCCAATCACATGGTGCATCTAATCAACCTGATTTACACGCGTCCAATCATCCTACGCGTCTAATCATCTCTGAGGTAATTACCGATGTAAAAACTATCTCGTAAGAACTACGCGCTAGGTTCGGATTGTACCGGTAACCCTCAATAAACACTTGCTCACTTGAGGGAGGATTCGAAAGTGATTGATTTATAGGTCTTAACTTCTGCCTACCCTAGACTGCATCCAATCACATGGTGCATCTAATCAACCTGATTTACACGCGTCCAATCATCCTACGCGTCTAATCATCTCTGAGGTAATTACCGATGTAAAAACTATCTCGTAAGAACTACGCGCTAGGTTCGGATTGTACCGGTAACCCTCAATAAGCCCAAGCACGATGTCCTCTACTCAAGATTCCGCCACCAAGATCTCTATCGATAGATTCGATGGAGACAACTACGCGACGTGGAGCCGCTACATGCGTGGCGTGTTCCTGACCAAGTCGACGTGGCACGTGGTCAACCGGGAGACCACCACCACCTTCGCCGATCCTCGCGCCAGTGATGAGTACGTCAAGACGAACAACATTGCGTTCGGCTTGATGTTACTTCACATGAGCGCGGACTATCATCACGTGGTTGATGACTGCGACGAGGCATGGGTTGCGTGGACACGGTTGAAGACTCTCTACGGCGGATCGCAGAAGGCTGGACGGATCTTCTTGAAGCGGCAGCTATTCAGCATGGAGATGGCGGAAGGCGGCAATGTAATGCATCATTGCAATGAAGTTCTCAACTTCAGCGCCAAGCTCAGCAGTATCGACGCCAAGATGGAGGATGAGGACGTGGCGATCTGCTTGTTGTGCAGCCTCCCCAAGAGCTACGAGAACGTCATGCTGAACTTGGAGATGAGCAGCGTGGAACTGCGGACGCAAGACGCCGTGAAAGTGCTGACGAATGAGCACGTAAAGAGACAAGGAAACAAGACGACATCGGTGAAAACTGAAGAAGCGACCAAGGCCTTCAGTACCGAGCGTGAGGTTCGTCAGTGTACGTTCTGCGGAAAATTGGGGCACACTGTTGTAACTTGAGCGCGAGGCGAAGAGAAAACGAAGCGGAGAGACCGGAGAGAACGAAGCAGAGAACACTTGCTCACTTGAGGGAGGATTCGAAAGTGATTGATTTATAGGTCTTAACTTCTGCCTACCCTAGACTGCATCCAATCACATGGTGCATCTAATCAACCTGATTTACACGCGTCCAATCATCCTACGCGTCTAATCATCTCTGAGGTAATTACCGATGTAAAAACTATCTCGTAAGAACTACGCGCTAGGTTCGGATTGTACCGGTAACCCTCAATAAACACTTGCTCACTTGAGGGAGGATTCGAAAGTGATTGATTTATAGGTCTTAACTTCTGCCTACCCTAGACTGCATCCAATCACATGGTGCATCTAATCAACCTGATTTACACGCGTCCAATCATCCTACGCGTCTAATCATCTCTGAGGTAATTACCGATGTAAAAACTATCTCGTAAGAACTACGCGCTAGGTTCGGATTGTACCGGTAACCCTCAATAAGCCCAAGCACGATGTCCTCTACTCAAGATTCCGCCACCAAGATCTCTATCGATAGATTCGATGGAGACAACTACGCGACGTGGAGCCGCTACATGCGTGGCGTGTTCCTGACCAAGTCGACGTGGCACGTGGTCAACCGGGAGACCACCACCACCTTCGCCGATCCTCGCGCCAGTGATGAGTACGTCAAGACGAACAACATTGCGTTCGGCTTGATGTTACTTCACATGAGCGCGGACTATCATCACGTGGTTGATGACTGCGACGAGGCATGGGTTGCGTGGACACGGTTGAAGACTCTCTACGGCGGATCGCAGAAGGCTGGACGGATCTTCTTGAAGCGGCAGCTATTCAGCATGGAGATGGCGGAAGGCGGCAATGTAATGCATCATTGCAATGAAGTTCTCAACTTCAGCGCCAAGCTCAGCAGTATCGACGCCAAGATGGAGGATGAGGACGTGGCGATCTGCTTGTTGTGCAGCCTCCCCAAGAGCTACGAGAACGTCATGCTGAACTTGGAGATGAGCAGCGTGGAACTGCGGACGCAAGACGCCGTGAAAGTGCTGACGAATGAGCACGTAAAGAGACAAGGAAACAAGACGACATCGGTGAAAACTGAAGAAGCGACCAAGGCCTTCAGTACCGAGCGTGAGGTTCGTCAGTGTACGTTCTGCGGAAAATTGGGGCACACTGTTGTAACTTGAGCGCGAGGCGAAGAGAAAACGAAGCGGAGAGACCGGAGAGAACGAAGCAGAGAACACTTGCTCACTTGAGGGAGGATTCGAAAGTGATTGATTTATAGGTCTTAACTTCTGCCTACCCTAGACTGCATCCAATCACATGGTGCATCTAATCAACCTGATTTACACGCGTCCAATCATCCTACGCGTCTAATCATCTCTGAGGTAATTACCGATGTAAAAACTATCTCGTAAGAACTACGCGCTAGGTTCGGATTGTACCGGTAACCCTCAATAAACACTTGCTCACTTGAGGGAGGATTCGAAAGTGATTGATTTATAGGTCTTAACTTCTGCCTACCCTAGACTGCATCCAATCACATGGTGCATCTAATCAACCTGATTTACACGCGTCCAATCATCCTACGCGTCTAATCATCTCTGAGGTAATTACCGATGTAAAAACTATCTCGTAAGAACTACGCGCTAGGTTCGGATTGTACCGGTAACCCTCAATAAACACTTGCTCACTTGAGGGAGGATTCGAAAGTGATTGATTTATAGGTCTTAACTTCTGCCTACCCTAGACTGCATCCAATCACATGGTGCATCTAATCAACCTGATTTACACGCGTCCAATCATCCTACGCGTCTAATCATCTCTGAGGTAATTACCGATGTAAAAACTATCTCGTAAGAACTACGCGCTAGGTTCGGATTGTACCGGTAACCCTCAATAAGCCCAAGCACGATGTCCTCTACTCAAGATTCCGCCACCAAGATCTCTATCGATAGATTCGATGGAGACAACTACGCGACGTGGAGCCGCTACATGCGTGGCGTGTTCCTGACCAAGTCGACGTGGCACGTGGTCAACCGGGAGACCACCACCACCTTCGCCGATCCTCGCGCCAGTGATGAGTACGTCAAGACGAACAACATTGCGTTCGGCTTGATGTTACTTCACATGAGCGCGGACTATCATCACGTGGTTGATGACTGCGACGAGGCATGGGTTGCGTGGACACGGTTGAAGACTCTCTACGGCGGATCGCAGAAGGCTGGACGGATCTTCTTGAAGCGGCAGCTATTCAGCATGGAGATGGCGGAAGGCGGCAATGTAATGCATCATTGCAATGAAGTTCTCAACTTCAGCGCCAAGCTCAGCAGTATCGACGCCAAGATGGAGGATGAGGACGTGGCGATCTGCTTGTTGTGCAGCCTCCCCAAGAGCTACGAGAACGTCATGCTGAACTTGGAGATGAGCAGCGTGGAACTGCGGACGCAAGACGCCGTGAAAGTGCTGACGAATGAGCACGTAAAGAGACAAGGAAACAAGACGACATCGGTGAAAACTGAAGAAGCGACCAAGGCCTTCAGTACCGAGCGTGAGGTTCGTCAGTGTACGTTCTGCGGAAAATTGGGGCACACTGTTGTAACTTGAGCGCGAGGCGAAGAGAAAACGAAGCGGAGAGACCGGAGAGAACGAAGCAGAGAACACTTGCTCACTTGAGGGAGGATTCGAAAGTGATTGATTTATAGGTCTTAACTTCTGCCTACCCTAGACTGCATCCAATCACATGGTGCATCTAATCAACCTGATTTACACGCGTCCAATCATCCTACGCGTCTAATCATCTCTGAGGTAATTACCGATGTAAAAACTATCTCGTAAGAACTACGCGCTAGGTTCGGATTGTACCGGTAACCCTCAATACGCCCCCTCAATCCGAACACGCAAGGATGCCAAGCGCCGCCGTCAAGTTCTTGTGACGCGGTCCGTGAAGTCCCTTCGTCATGATGTCCGCCAACATCAACGTTGTCTCGCAGTATTCAAGCTTCACTTCGCCGCGCTTGACTTCATCACGGATGTGATGGTACTTGATGTCGATGTGTTTAGCGCGGCCGTGGTTGACCGGATTCTTCGTCATCTTGATGCACGACTGGTTGTCTTCACGGATGACGAGCTCGGGTCCTTCTTCGTTTGCAGCCGCCATGATCTCGCACGGCAAGCGATTGATCCACTTGCCTTCTTGGATCGCCAGGCTGAGCGCGATGTACTCCGCTTCGCTTGTAGACAGTGACACACTTGGCTGTTTCTTGCTGCCCCAACTCACCGGAGCACCCAATAGCATGAAGACGTAGCCGGACGTCGATTTGCGATCAGCAAGGTCACCGGCCCAGTCTGCATCTGAATAGCCACGAAAGTCGATCTTCGCACTTGGCTTGTAGCAGATTCCATGCATCTTGGTGCCTTGTAGGTAGCGGAAGATGCGCTTGACTGCAACCCAGTGTTCTTCTTGGGGTTTCTCCATGAACCGTGACACAAAGCTTACAGCATAGGCGATGTCCGGTCGCGTTGCAGTCGTCAGATGCATCAAAGCACCCACTGCTTCACGGAATGGGACATTCACCTTGCTTGCAGAGTTGCTTGGAACCAGTCGAGAGCTGACGTCCACCGGACTTGCCACAGCCTTGCACTCATCCATTCCAAAGCGCTTGAGGACATCGTCGACATAACGGCGCTGACACATAGTCACGCTGCCATCTTCACCGTCCAATAACTCGATCCCAAGAACAAAGGCACACTTGCCGCTGTCCGTCATCTCGAAGCGTGTCTTGAGGTCGTTCTTGGTGCGCGCAATCATCTCGAGCGAGCTTCCAGTCACCAAGACATCGTCCACGTAGACCAGCACAAAAACACAATGGCCTTCCGAAGTCATGATGTAGAGACATGGATCGAATCCCGACGCTTGAAAACCAATCGAGCGTATGAACTCGTCGAAGGTCTCGTTCCAAACACGCGAGGCTTGCTTGAGACCGTAGATCGCCTTGATCAGCTCGAGACAGTCGAAATCACCTTCCATCTTGACGCCTTCCGGAACAGCGCAGAACACCTTCTCCTTCATCACTCCATACAGGAACGCAGTCACCACATCGAGCTGGTCGAGGGGCCATCCAAAGTGCTTGGTAATGGCGATGACCATTCGCAGCGTCACATACTTGACCACGGGCGAGAACGTCTCCGTGTAGTCAATGCCATACTTTTGGCGAAAACCCTTGGCCACAAGTCGTGCCTTGTATTTCTCGATCGACCCATCCGCCTTGCGCTTGATCTTGAAGACCCACTTTGTGCCAATGGCGCTTTGTCCGTTGGGTAACTTGGCCGCACGAAAGACACCGCGAAGCTTCATCGAATCGAGCTCCGCATCAATTGCCTTGCGCCAGTGTACTTGGTCCGGGCCAGACACTGCTTCTTCAAATGTCGACGGCTCCGAAAAATCGACCGCTGCTTCGACGGCGTTTGCACTCGCATGCCAAAACGCGGAGGAAGTCGGTGTGTCATGTTGTTCCTCCGACTTCCTTTCTTCATCTTCGTTGGCTCGACGTGAAGAGAGGTCATCCGGCGCACTTGACTCTTCTGTTGTAAGTGCATGATGCACTGGATTCGACTCCAGAGATTCGACCCATGATAGGGTATGTCTAGAATGTTCTTTAGGGTTCTATGCATTATTATAGGTCGTACGGCAGCTAGACGTATGGATAGTTCTCACTTGTAGATTGACAAACCACTGATGAGGCCCCCGGCGGGGGGCCGAAACGCGTCTGGTGCGCGGTAATATACAAGTCATTTACTTTACTTAACTCCTACTTCTTACAGGTTATGAGCCCAAGAGCTCGCTGCAGACACCTCACCAAGGACCAACTTGTGCGAGGGACACCCCGTCAGAGAAGGCGCTCGATGCACGAGTAAGGCGCCGAAGAATTCATCGACAGGGATCGTTGACGGTGCGCGTGCAGTCGAAAAGGGTTTGTGCAAGGGTGGTGACGCGAGATGGTCTGAATGCGCGAGTGCTATCGAAGGAAGAGTCAAGTCAAGTGGTGACAAGTGTATTTGTGGTCAAGAAGAAGTGGAAACTACATGCAAGGCGAACGACGACTACGAGATGTCAAGATGTGACATGGTTGTTGCATTGTAGATCGGAGCGAGGAAAGCGGAGCGAACGGAGCGGAGAGACCGAAGAGAGTAGAGCAGAAAACACTTGCCCAATAGTTGGAAGATTCGAAAGTGATTGATTATCGGGGCTTACTACTTACTACATGATTTATATGTGGTGTACATATAAATCATGTGAAGCGTCTCATCATCCTACGCGTCTAATCAACTATGGTAATTACCGTAAGAACTACGTCGTAAATACTAAGCTGAACAGGCGGTTCGGATTGGATCGGTCACGGTTACCAATACTGGTAGAAAACCGATGACCGTCAACACGCCCCTCAATCCGAATGCTCACGAATCCCGAGATCCGTCGTCATTTCCTTGTGGCGTGGTCCATGAAGTCCCTTCGTCATGATGTCCGCTAACATCACCGCAGTTTCACAGTACTTGAGCTTCACTTCACCGCGCTTGACCTCATCACGGATGTGATGGTACTTGATATCAATGTGCTTGGCACGGCCGTGGTTGACTGGGTTCTTCGTCATCTTGATACATGACTGATTGTCTTCATGAATCATGAGTTCCGGTCCTTCTCTATTGGCAGCCATCACGATCTCACAAAGCAGACGATGAATCCACTTGCCCTCTTGAATCGCCAAGCTGAGTGCGATGTATTCGGCTTCACTCGTGGACAACGAAACACTTGGCTGCTTCTTGCTGCCCCAACTGACTGGCGCACCGAGTAGCATGAACGTGTACCCCGATGTTGACTTGCGGTCGGTAAGATCACCAGCCCAATCCGCATCCGAATATCCACGGAAGTCGATCCTTGCACTTGGCTTGTAGCAAATTCCATGCGTCTTGGTGCCTTGTAGGTAGCGAAAGATACGCTTAACTGCAACCCAGTGTTCTTCTTGGGGATTTCCATGAACCGCGACACATAGCCCACAGCAAACGCAATGTCCGGACGCGTTGCAGTGGTCAGGTGCATCAACGCACCAACAGCTTCGCGAAAAGGAGCATCGACCTTGGTAGTTGCATCACTTGAAACAAGTCGAGAGCTCATGTCGACTGGACTTGCCACAGCCTTGCACTCATCCATTCCAAAGCGCTTGAGGACATCGTCGACATAACGGCGCTGACACATAGTCACGCTGCCATCTTCACCGTCCAATAACTCGATCCCAAGAACAAAGGCACACTTGCCGCTGTCCGTCATCTCGAAGCGTGTCTTGAGGTCGTTCTTGGTGCGCGCAATCATCTCGAGCGAGCTTCCAGTCACCAAGACATCGTCCACGTAGACCAGCACAAAAACACAATGGCCTTCCGAAGTCATGATGTAGAGACATGGATCGAATCCCGACGCTTGAAAACCAATCGAGCGTATGAACTCGTCGAAGGTCTCGTTCCACACACGCGAGGCTTGCTTGAGACCGTAGATCGCCTTGATCAGCTCGAGACAGTCAAAATCACCTTCCATCTTGACGCCTTCCGGAACAGCGCAGAACACCTTCTCCTTCATCACTCCATACAGGAACGCAGTCACCACATCGAGCTGGTCGAGGGGCCATCCAAAGTGCTTGGTAATGGCGATGACCATTCGCAGCGTCACATACTTGACCACAGGCGAAAACGTCTCCGTGTAGTCGATGCCATACTTTTGGCGGAAACCCTTGGCCACAAGTCGTGCCTTGTACTTCTCGATAGATCCATCCGCCTTGCGCTTGATCTTGAACACCCATTTTGTGCCAATGGCGCGTTGTCCGTTGGGCAGCTTGGCTGCACGAAACACACCGTGAAGTCGCATTGACTCGAGCTCTGCATGAATTGCTTTTCTCCAGTGCACTTGGTCAGGGCCGCTTACTGCTGCTTCAAATGTTGAGGGCTCTGATAAGTCCACTGCTGCTTCAACGGCATTTGCACTCGCACGCCAAAACACAGGCGGTGTTGAATCACCAGAATCCTTCGTTTCTTCGTCTTCTTCTTGGCGTGACGAGTTGTTTTCCGGCGCGCTTGACTCTTCTAGTCCTGGTCGTTGACGCACTGCACGCGGTCGTGGAGCTGCTGTATCTTCATCATTGAGTCGGTTCTTGCGCTTGCCTGTTTGCTTGTACTCCATTCGACGCAGCTCTTCGTCATCAAGATCCAGCAATTCGAAGTCCAGGTCATCGACATCTTCATCAGTGATCGGCAGTTGAAGTCCAAAGGTGGACTCGTCGAAGTTGACATCGCGGCTGATAACCACCTGCCCCGCCTCAATGTCAAATACACGATATGCCTTGGACACTTCTTCGTAGCCCACGAATATGCCAGCGCGAGCCTTTGGATCCCACTTGAGTCGATTCTCTTTAGGCGTCAGTATGTATGTCTGACAGCCGAATACTCGCATGTGCTTGAAACTTCGCTTGGAGTTGTACACGATCTCAAACGGGGTCTTATGCACATTTTTGGTGACGGTAGGCGATTCTTGACGTAGATGACCGTCATTGCTAATTCAGCCCAGAAGCACTTGTCCAACTTGGCATGGTGAAGCATGCTGCGGCCGATCGTGACGATAGTCCCAATGGCACGCTCTGCTGTTCCGTTTGTTTGATGTGAGGGCGTCACTGGATGACGGCACTGCGAATAATTGGCTTAGAGGTAGTATTCAAAGTGCGAACTAATACCTATTATAAATATATATTCTCTTTTGGGTTTTTCCCCGACGAAAAAAGTTCATAATAGGCATCTGCTGTTCAATGCCTTCGTCTTCGTAGAACAGTTGAAGCGAGTTGGTTGCAAACTCGCGAGCTCCGTCGTGTCGCACGAACTTGACCTTCTTACAGAATTGCGTCTGTACCATAGTGATATATTTCCGGATGTAGTCTTCACTCTCGGACTTCACTCGTAGACAAAAGCCCTTCATGCATCCACTGGCTTCGTCGATGATCAGCAGCAAATATTTGCTGCCACCGAGCGAATCCTTTTCCATGGGCCCGCAGATGTCCAGATGAAGTAGCTCAAACGTATCGTAGCTGCGCTTGTCTCGGTTGCTTGGAAATGGTTTGTGGACCATTTTCCCTTGTTGACATCCTCGACATGTAGTTGCTCCACCCGACTTGAGAGGGACTCGCACATCCTTGATCATGTTGGTCGCGATCATCTTGCGAAGTACATCGACTGGAGCATGACCCATTCTCGCATGTAGATCGGCACAACTGGTTCCACTTGTTGTCACATTCGCTGATCGTTGAGTCGTCCGAAGCCAGTAGAGTCCATCCACGAGATCCGCTGTCGCCACCACTTGCTGTGAGTTCTTGAGAGTCACATACATCTTGGACCCGTCAAACACGACTTGAAACTTGCCATGGCTGTTAATCTGTGGCACCGAGAGCAGGTTCTTGCTCATACTTGGAACATATAGCGCGTTCTTGATTTCGATCTCACGCTCTTCACCGTTGGGCAGAACCACCTTTTCCATGATGGTTCCCACACCCTTGATGGCCACCTTGTTGCCATCAGCCACCAAGAGTTCGCCCTCATTGCGCTCTGCCAAACTTGCGAACTTGGTCTTGTCGTGGCAAATGTGGTGCGTTGCACCACTGTCGACGGCCCACATTCCAGACACGTCCTTGCTCGTCGAAACTCCACATTCGAACGAGACTGCAAACGCCACTCGATCGTAGCCATTACCTTCATCATGATGTCCCCACTGGATATTGTTAGCCCCGCGTCCACGACCATTGCCGCCGCGTCGGGCTCCCCGACCTTCGTTCTTCTGCTTTGTCCAGCAACGATCCACCGTGTGTCCCACCTTGCCACAATACGTGCATTGGTAGGGCTCACGCTCGGCGCTGAATGCCTTGCTTGCATCTTCAGCCTTCACCGTAGTCGCTGTCGTTGTCCCTTTTTCTCCTTGACGCTTGGCATGCTCATTCGTCAGGACTCTCACCACATCTTGAGTGCGAAGCTCGGTGCTGCTCATTTCCATGTTGAGCACCACATTTTCGTAGCTCTTCGGAAGACTGAGTAGCAGACAAATTGCAACGTCTTCGTCTTCCATCTTCGCACCGATGCCGCTAAGCTTGGCGGAGATGTTGAGGACCTCGTTGCAGTGATGCATGACGTTCGCGCCTTCATCCATCTTGATACTGAAAAGTTGTCGCTTGAGGTAGATGCGTCCTGCCTTCTGCGACCCACCGTACAGCGTCTTCAGACTTGTCCACGCAACCCAGGCTTCCTCGCAGTTGTCCAGCACATGATGGTAGTCCGCGTTCATGTGCAGCAGCATCATACCAAACGCGACGTTGCTTGCCTTGACGTAGTCATCGGACGCTCGCGGGTCGGTGAAAGTCGGAGTCACTTCACGGTTGACGACGTGCCAGACGGACTTCGTCAAAAACACACCGCGCATGTACCGGCTCCACGTTGCGTAATTGTCTCCGTTGAACTTGTCAATGGAGGCGTTGCTGGTGGACGACATGGCGCTTGGGCTCATAACCTGTTGCATTGTAGATCGGAGCGAGGAAAGCGGAGCGAACGGAGCGGAGAGACCGAAGAGAGTAGAGCAGAAAACACTTGCCCAATAGTTGGAAGATTCGAAAGTGATTGATTATCGGGGCTTACTACTTACTACATGATTTATATGTGGTGTACATATAAATCATGTGAAGCGTCTCATCATCCTACGCGTCTAATCAACTATGGTAATTACCGTAAGAACTACGTCGTAAATACTAAGCTGAACAGGCGGTTCGGATTGGATCGGTCACGGTTACCAATACTGGTAGAAAACCGATGACCGTCAACAATGGTGCTGGACGATGGGGGAGCTGGAATACCCGGAACGCTCGGTATCATCGAGGTTGGCTGGAGCGCATGGGCAAGACTCAATCAAGATTCCCATGGTGCACGGATGCAGCAGTGAGGATTACAGGCGGGTCGATACCAAAGTGGTCTGCATCTCATGTCGTCGAGGGGGAGTGTTGTAAGTGCATGATGCACTGGATTCGACTCCAGAGATTCGACCCATGATAGGGTATGTCTAGAATGTTCTTTAGGGTTCTATGCATTATTATAGGTCGTACGGCAGCTAGACGTATGGATAGTTCTCACTTGTAGATTGACAAACCACTGATGAGGCCCCCGGCGGGGGGCCGAAACGCGTCTGGTGCGCGGTAATATACAAGTCATTTACTTTACTTAACTCCTACTTCTTACATCTTCCAATCCGGGTCGTTGGCGCACTGCTCGGGGCATGCTTGCGTCGTCATTGTCGTGATTGGGTTGGGCCTTGCGCTTTCCTGTTTGTTTGAAGTGTCTCGGACGCGGTTCTTCATCATCAAGATCGATCGATTCGAAGTCCAGACCATCAACATCGTCATCGGAAATCATCATCGACATTCCAAAGGCCGACTCATCGAAATTGACATCGCGACTTATCATCACCTGCCTCGCTTCGATGTCGTAAACTCGATACGCCTTGGACACTTCTTCGTAGCCCAAAAACAATCCAGCCCGGGCCTTGGGATCCCACTTGAGTCGTTTCTCCTTCGGGGTCAAGATGTATGCTTGGCACCCAAAAACGCGCATGCGCTTGACACTTGGCTTAGAACTGTAGACAATCTCGAACGGTGTCTTGTGTGGAATCTTGGGTGACGGCAAACGGTTCTTCACATAGACGGCCGTCATTGCCGCTTCAGCCCAGAAGCACTTGTCCAACTTGGCATGATGGAGCATGCTACGACCGATGGTGACGATAGTTCGAATCGCGCGTTCAGCAGTTCCATTGGCTTGATGTGCGTATGGCACCGTGGTTTGTTGCTCGATGCCTTCGACTTCGTAGAAATCTTGAAGCGAGTTCGTCGCAAACTCGCGGGCTCCATCGTGTCGCACAAATTTGACCTTCTTGTTGAACTGCGTCTGTATCATCGTGATGTACTTCTTGATGCACTCTTCGCTCTCTGACTTGGAATGCAGACAAAAACCCTTCATGCATCCGCTGGCTTCATCCACGATCAGCAGCAGATACTTGCTGCCACCCAGAGATTTTTCTTCCATGGGTCCGCAGATGTCGAAGTGGAGCATCTCGAAGGTGTTGTAGGTGCGCTTGTCACGGTTGCTCGGGAATGGTTTTTGGACCATCTTCCCTTCTTGGCATCCTCGACACACACTTGATCCATTCGGCTTGGAAGGGATGTGAGCGTCCTTGATCATGTGGCTTGTCACCATCCTGCGAAGCACGTCGACTGGAGCATGGCCCATTCGCGCATGTAGATCAACAGCGTTGCTGAGTGATGTCGCATTGGCCGATCGCTGCGTCGTGCGAAGCCAGTAGAGTCCGTCTACAAGATCCGCAGCTGCCACCACTTGATTGGAATCCTTGCGAGCGACGTACATCGTATCCCCGTCAAACACCACTTGGAAGTTGCCGTGCTTGTTAATCTGCGGCACCGAGAGCAGATTTTTGCTCATGCTGGGCACATAGAGCGCGTTCTTGATCTCGATCTCGCGCTCTTCCCCGTTTGGCAGAATCACCTTTTCCACGATGGTCCCCACACCTTTGATGGCCGCCTTGTTGCCATCAGCCACCAGGATCTCGCCATCATTGCCTTCGACCAAGCTTGCAAACTTGAACTTGTCGTGGCAGATGTGATGTGTTGCCCCGCTGTCAACGGCCCACATTCCTGGTCCATTCTTGTTCGTCGAAACTCCGCATTCGAACGAAACTGCAAACGCCACTCGATCGTAGCTGTTGCCTTCATCATAATGTCGCCAGTGGACATTGTTTGCCCCGCGTCGACGACCATTGCCGCCGCGTTGGGCTCCTCGACTTTCATCCTTTTGCTTCGTCCAGCAACGCTCTGCCGTGTGCCCCACCTTGCCGCAGTATGTGCATTGGTAGGGCTTGCGCTCGGTACTGAATGCCTTTGTCGCATCTTCAGTCTTCACCGTTGTCGTTGCCGTTGTCATCTTCTCGCCTTGTCGCTTGATGTGCTCGTTAGTCAGCACCTTGACCACATCTTGCGTGCGCAGCTCTGCATTGCTCATCTCCAAGTTCAGAACCACGTTCTCGAAACTCTTCGGGAGACTGAGCAGCAAGCAGATCGCAATGTCTTCGTCTTCCATCTTGGCACCGATGCTGCTGAGCTTGGCGCCGATGTTCAAGACTTCGTTGCAATGGTGCAAGACGTTGGCACCTTCCGCCATCTTGATGCTGAACAGCTGGCGCTTGAGGTAGATGCGTCCCGCCTTCTGCGACCCACCATAGAGCATCTTCAACCGCGACCACGCTGTCCATGCTTCTTCACAGTTGTCGACCACATGGTGGTAGTCGGCGTCCATGTGGAGCAACATCAACCCGAACGCGATGTTGCTCGCCTTGACGTACTCGTCGGAAGCTCGCGTGTCGGTGAAGGTTGGAGACGTTTCGCGGTTCACGACGTACCAGACTGACTTCGTCAGAAACACGCCGCGCATGTAGCGACACCAGGTTGAGTAGTTGTCCCCATCGAACTTATCGATGGAGACACTGGCCGAGGTGTTGTTGGATGACATGGCGCTTGGGCTCATAACCTGTTGTAACTTGAGCGCGAGGTGTAAGAAGTAGGAGTTAAGTAAAGTAAATGACTTGTATATTACCGCGCACCAGACGCGTTTCGGCCCCCCGCCGGGGGCCTCATCAGTGGTTTGTCAATCTACAAGTGAGAACTATCCATACGTCTAGCTGCCGTACGACCTATAATAATGCATAGAACCCTAAAGAACATTCTAGACATACCCTATCATGGGTCGAATCTCTGGAGTCGAATCCAGTGCATCATGCACTTACAACACTCCCCCTCGACGACATGAGATGCAGACCACTTTGGTATCGACCCGCCTGTAATCCTCACTGCTGCATCCGTGCACCATGGGAATCTTGATTGAGTCTTGCCCCTGCGCTCCAGCCAACCTCGATGATACCGAGCGTTCCAGGTATTCCAGCTCCCCCATCGTCCAGCACCATGTCACATCTTGACATCTCGTAGTCGTCGTTCGCCTTGCATGTAGTTTCCACTTCTTCTTGACCACAAATACACTTGTCACCACTTGACTTGACTCTTCCTTCGATAGCACTCGCGCATTCAGACCATCTCGCGTCACCACCCTTGCACAAACCCTTTTCGACTGCACGCGCACCGTCAACGATCCCTGTCGATGAATTCTTCGGCGCCTTACTCGTGCATCGAGCGCCTTCTCTGACGGGGTGTCCCTCGCACAAGTTGGTCCTTGGTGAGGTGTCTGTAGCGAGCACTTGGGCTCATAACCTGTTGTAACTTGAGCGCGAGGTGTAAGAAGTTGGAGTTAAGTAAAGTAAATGACTTGTATATTACCGCGCACCAGACGCGTTTCGGCCCCCCGCCGGGGGCCTCTGTTGAAAAGACAGCGGCTGTGAAGAAGACACCTCGTCAAGCTGCGTCAAGTGTTGAAGCAAGTGGAAGACCAAGCTTCGCTATACCGGTGGGTACCGGTATGTACCAGTAGGGGCGAAGTCAGGAAATGACGTCACTGGATGACGTCATTGCATGATGTCAGTGGGTGACGTCAGTGGGTGACGTCACTGGATGACGTCACTGCGAATAATAGGCTTAGAGGTAGTATTCAAAGTTGCGAACTAAGTACCTATTATAAATATATATTCACTTTGCGTTTTGCACTCGGACCAAGAAGTCTAAAGTTCATCAGGTTATGAGCCCAAGTTCGTCAGACTCTGAAACCGCCAACAATTCAAGCTTAGCTGCCATGGACGCCTCCTCCCTCCCTCCGCATCTCCAAGTTCGATGGAACTAACTTCCACGCCTGGAAGTTCAAGATGCAGATGGTGCTGGAGGAACGGGACCTATGGGAGGTCGTCAGCGGTGAGATCAAGGCGGAACAGTGCGAGACTCAGTTGGACCAAGCGACGTACAAGAGGAAGTCAAGAAAGGCGATGGCAGTGATCTGTCTAGCCATGGAAGATTCCCAGCTACCGTTGGTCCGGTCGGCAAGTGGTGCATGCGACGCATGGTCAAGGTTGGAAGACCACTTCGAGAAGAAGAGTCTTGCCAACAAGCTGTTCTTGCGCCGTCGCTTCTTCACGACAATGATGGAAGAAGGCGACGATGTGCTCGAACACATCAACAAGCTCAAGACGCTGGCGGAACAGCTAGAAGCGGTGGGGGCTCCAGTCTGCGAGGACGATCTGGTGATCACACTCCTCGGCAGCCTGAGTGACTCGTATCAATTCTTGATCACAGCTTTGGAGTCGCGCTCAGATACTCTTAGCTGGGAGCTCGTGACGTCTCGACTGCTTCATGAAGAAATGAAGCGGAAGGAGCAAGGGAAGTAAAGGTGATGAAGCTTCGCAAGGTCAAGCGTTCATCACAAGGGACAATCAGCGCAAAGGGCGACCAGTGAAGAAGTCCTGGCCGTGCCACAATTGCGGAAAGATTGGTCATTGGA